ATACTGTCTGATCCCACATCGGCTGGGAAGGAGAACTAAGCATTACTTATAAGGGGTGTGGATACCTTCCTTGTCACAACGCGTTTTAAAGCCGTGAGGGCAGCAGATCACATAAGAACTCTGCAGTTAAGCGTGCTCGGGCGGGAGTAGTACCGGGATGGGTGACCCCCTGGGAAGTCCTCGTGCCGAGTGGCCCAAAGCGGACAATATTGTGATACGTGCAAGAGGGGGTGTTACAAATGGTATCAGAGCTAGGGCACGGGTCGATGTGTTCGACAGGGACGTCGAACCCTATAATGGGGGGTGAAGGTGGGTTGCACCTGATCCTACATCGGCTTGGAAGGAGAACGAAACATCTACTTATAAGGGGTGTGGATACCTTCCTTGTCACAACGCGTTTTAAAGCCGTGAGGGCAGCAGATCACATAAGAACTCTGCAGTTAAGCGTGCTCGGGCGGGAGTAGTACCGGGATGGGTGACCCCCTGGGAAGTCCTCGTGCCGAGTGGCCCAAAGCGGACAATATTGTGATACGTGCAAGAGGGGGTGTTACAGCCTCCGATCTCAAAGTCTAGGGGTAAGAAAATCGAACCCATATAGGAGGTGTTACTGATACCATTCGTCGTGGAATGCGGCCTGAAATTATAATCGTTGTCCTGGTTGCCGCCATTTCCTCCTCCCAGTCTGGAGCCGACGTTAATATAAAAACCTGCTTGATTTCCGATGCCTTTAATCTCAGATAGCCACTGTGACAACTGTCAAATTTCGGTCAAGTCAAAGTCAACTAAAGTCAACAAGTCAAACCGTTTGACTCAATTTGCCCTTGGGTACTAGAATTTACATTATGAAACTTCTACATAACTCTCTATTCTAATGAGAGATCATAAATCAAAAGTGCGAACATCTAGATATCCTTAACCATAAACTGTGGTACGTGGCTAGCCCAAACCGATAAAACAATGTTGCATACTCATCGGGAGTGTGTAAGATCCTTAAACAGGGCTTAACAGGGTTTACGAACCATGCATTGCGATGCCGGACACTCACAATTGTCACACATGGAACCTCTCTCAATCGTTTTCACTCTATCTCTCTCTCTATGTTAAATCTCTCCCAAATCTCTCCAAGTATGTGAAATCTCTCTCAAATATCTCTCTGTATGAGAAATCTCTCCAATAATGTCAAATCTCTCCCAAATCCCTCCAAGTATGTGAAATCTCTCTCAAATATCTCTCTGTATGAGAAATCTCTCCAAGAATGTCAAATCTCTCCCAAATCTCTCCAAGTATGTGAAATCTCTCTCAAATATCTCTCTATATGAGAAATCTCTCCAAGAATGTCAAATCTCTCCCAAATCTCTCCAAGTATGTGAAATCTCTCTCAAATATCTCTATGTATGAGAAATCTCTCCAAGAATATCAAATCTCTCCCAAATCTCTCCAAGTATGTGAAACCTCTCTCAAATATCTCTTTGTATGAGAAATCTCTCCAAGAATGTCAAATCTCTCCCAAATCTCTCCAACTATGTGAAATCTCTCTCAAATATCTCTCTGTATGAGAAATCTCTCCAAGAATGTCAAATCTCTCCCAAATCTCTCCAAGTATGTGAAACCTCTCTCAAATATCTCTTTGTATGAGAAATCTCTCCAAGAATGTCAAATCTCTCCCAAATCTCTCCAAGTATGAGAAATCTCTCCCAAACCTCCCTCAAATAGTTCCTGTAACTTTTTAGAATCATTCGGGTCATTCCGGCCCTTAACCGGGTCAAAAACGGCTTAAAACGGGGTAAAAACGAGAAAAATGGACCTTAGGAACCGAAACCCTTCTCAAGGAGCCGAAGCTCCTTAAGGCCGAGACCTAGGACCGAGAGCACAGACCGGACCGAGCCTCTGTTGGCTGAACCCGGAGGACCGAGCCCCTATAGCTGAGACCGAGTCTCTGTCTCTGTCGCTTCTCGCTCTCTGTTCGCTTCTCACTCTCTGTTCGCTTCCTCTTCGCCTCTCTGTCTCTATTCCGCCTCTCTTCCCCTCTCGGTCTCTGTTCTCTCTTCTCTCCTCTCTATCTCTTCTCTTCTCTCGGTCTCTCTTCTCCTCTCTCGGTTCCCTCTCTCTCCTTTCTCCCCTCTCGGTTCATACTCTCCCTCTTCTTCCCTCTCGGTTTCTACCCTCCCTCCTCTTGGTTTCAGCATCAGAAGGCCGAACCTCGGCTAGATTTCGGAAATTTGTCACTTTTAGCCCCTTTTTGATATTTTTAACATTTTAAGCCCGTTTTTCGTGATTTTAAAGCGGGATTTTCTCCAGAAATTATATTTAACATAATAAACCCTAAATATTCATAATTTAAACATATTTGGATGAAAATCATTTTCTAAATAATAAAAATCAAATGGGTGAATTATTAAAGGTGGAGTGTTGACTTTGCCTTATCCAATGTCACAAGCAACCACCCCACACCCACTCTTTGACTAACCACACCTCCCCACCTTACCTAAGTCACTTCAATGTCCCTTACACTCAAATTACACTCATTCCCACGTTTTTAGAGCTGGAACAAACATCCTCTCTCCTCATTTCTCTCATTTGCTCTCATTTCACTAAGTATCAAACACCACTTTTCTCTCAAACTTTTTCTCCACCAAACTCGAGATTCAAGGCTGATTATCAAGTGTTCTTCCACATTTGGTAAGCATAATCCATTCTCCTTATGATTATCTCACTTATTTCCACTCAAATCATGGATATCTTACACAAACTCCATCATATTTGTGTTAGATCTTCAAATCTTCAAGCAATCTTCCCAAGTGTTCTTGAGTTGAACACCCCTTCTCTCCATCATCCATCCACTGAAATCACTCAAGGTGAGTTCATACCCCTACATTTTCATGTTTTCTCAAGTTTTCAGGGGGGGAATACAAGTTAAAACACCAAGAACATAACTAAAATTTTCTAACAGCATTCATCAGAAAAGTTCAACTCCATTCACGGACTGTTTTGGGCATCTTAAACATTTTTGTTTTCAAAACTGTACAAGGTGAAAATAGTTCACATTTTTAGCTTTAAAATGACTACTTGCACATCTCCATACGATTTTTCTACAATTTATGGTGATTTTTACAAAACTGTCTATCATTTCAAACAACAATCCGGACCAGTCTGTGATTATGGACTTTTTCACCCAAGTTGGAGGTCATTAAAAATCGTGATAAAAATTATGAATAAACTAGACACATTTTTTGAACTCTCGGAATTTATGGATCTAGTTTTCGACTTCATATGATTTTTCCAAAACAGGGCAGAATGGCTAAAGTTAGCCAACAGCATGTAAATATCATAACACTTTGTATTATGTTGAGCAAAGTGTATAATCATAAGTTTTAATTATTGAATGTGTTTCCTTGTTAGTTTATCATCATGAACTGAAACTAAGTCATTCATAATAAATATTATTCATTCATTTTAGAACACGTATATTAAACTATAAAAAGTATAGTTTGATAAATTCATAACACTAATACATTTCCATAAAAGAGTTCATACATATTACATACATTTTAGATAAATTATAATAGGTATAGTTTATGATACATCACTCAACACACTCATACAAAAAGGGTACATTCATACAAGAAAGATTTATATTCACACACATTTCACGTAAATTTGTTAACCTATAGTTTGATAAATTCATAACACTAATACATTTCCATAAAAGAGTTCATACATATTACATACATTTTAGATAAACTATAATATGTATAGTTTATGATACATCACTCAACACACTCGTACAAAGAGGGTACATTCATACAAGAAAGATTTATATTCACACACATTTCACGTAAACTTGTTAACCTATATTATGAGACTCTCTCTCTCTCTCTCTCTCTCTCTCTCTCTCTCTCTCCCCGTACGTCCGAGTGCGGGATATAATTCCTGGTAGTTATAATCAGAATTTTCTTGAGGGAGAACGTGATACTTGTATATAGATCTATATTGAGTTTGACACCCCACACCTTGCTGCTAGCTACAGTGGGACCTGCAGGTCTACGGGTGACAAATGTCATTTTAATTTTCGCGACGCCTGAGAACGTCGTGGCAGGTTCACATAGTCATAGTATGATTATAGCGACTCACATAGGGATATAACAATCCATAAGTTTACGGGATTTTATTTTCAAAACCTAAATGAGTTTTATGTCGATTAAAAATCACTTTTTATCTCTATGAGTATAGATATTACTGTACACTTTTGGTTTTGGAAGTTACGACTACACATCATTTGAAACCACATTCATACCTTTAAGAATGGTCAATACTTGTTATTACTCGGTCCTCTAATTTAGGACTACATACATATAAAGTATTAACAAACATGAGAACATACAGAAATTTCATTTAATTCAAACGCGTCCATGTCCATTTAAGTACATAACATTTTCTATTAATAAGAAAGGTTACTTATACATTTTGGTCTTCAGTCATAAGACTACAGTACACAAATTTTAAAGAAAATATCGGATTTTCTGGATACATATTCTAACGCTTTTACAAGGAAAACGATTTACTTTTCCAACGAAATCTCTTATGAACTCACCAACCTTTGTGTTGACACTTTTCAAAACTACTTGTATTCTCAGGAATTCAGTGAAAACAGGAAATCAACAACGTTTTGAGGATGGGACGATAAATCATCAAACAGTTCATTTTGTATCATAATGTAATTGATGTGAATCATGTAAACATGTGCCTTGATGTAACGTTTTCAATTATTTTTGTGTTGGTTGTATTTACTTTGAGCACTATTATACTCATTGTTGTGATACTCTACATGAAGTCCTCCACCCCCGGACGTTTCCGCCATCCTTGGTTTGGGGGTGTGACAGCCACGGTGGACGTTGTGCCGGAATTTGTTGACGATATTTGGTTTCACCCCTCTGCAAATCACGACCAATGCTGTCATTTCATCCTCCCAGTCTAGAGTCGGCGTTGATATGAAAACCTGCTTAATATCCGACCCCTTCAGACTCAGATACCCATGGTGGAGGTTGTGCGAGATTTTCCGTTTCGCCAATACGCAATTGAGAAGAAGTTTGAGATGTTCCTACACTACAATCAACCACTGCATTGTTACTTGGTCCTCGTTGGGTATTTCTGTAGATTATAGAAAGCACAAAGTGATTTGGAGATTGCGTTCTGGCCCCATTAAGTACATACTTCGCCATCTGCCATGAGGTATTAGTCGTTGGAGCAGGTGGTAGGCCTTCACGATAATAGAATGGGTTCTTGACACCGATTTCCCCAACCTCATCACGTAGGGTTAGCTTGTGTTTCCATTTCCATTCTCCATTCCCATTTTCCCTAGACCTCCGATAATGGGAGCGGCGGTGGTCTCTTGGTGAGAAAAACAACCATTCGCCCTCAACAATTTGAGGATGGTTCGCTGTTTTCAAAAATGAGTTCAAAAATCCATATTAATCAAATAAAATAGTCAAGAACTCTGTGAAATTACCTGTAACAGATGACGGATGTCCAGAGTAGACATATGTTTCCAAAATCTTGATAGGTAGCGCTTGATTGTTAATTTTCCTCAAAAGATAATCAATGATAAACTCCCTATCTGTAGGGTAGAATTTTTATCCTCTGGGAATGATGCTATGGTAATATGCATCATCTCTTGCTACTGAATTGTCAGGTATCCTTGTTGATGTCACCGGCGATGGTGGTGGCGGTGGGGGTGTTGGTTCTCTGTGACAATGGCAGTCACAAAAACTAGAACAAGAGCAGCAAGTACGAAGGCAATGGGAAGCCATTGTTGTCGTAGGTAAATAACTAAGAAATGTAGGGTTTATGACCGGAAGTCTGAGGAATTAATAGATTTTGCCGGGCAGCGATGATTGTCGGTCATGACGCATCAACGGTCACGCATCTGTTGTGGTTTTTAGGAATCTCAATTCAAGGAAAATCATTGGTTCTTATTGCTTCAAAAACCGTTAATCCTTTATACTATTCCATTAACTTTTAGATGTTAAATACATGCAAAAAAACACTTTTACCCATGTATTTATCTTTTCTGATTTTTTTTTTGTTTTTTTGTTTTTTTGTGACTTTTAATCATAAAATCGGTTCTTCTTCTTGGGCATCGACTACCACCGCGCAAACCAACCCTAACGACGCTCAAACCACCTCCGACATCTAGCCTCATCACAATCTTCCAAAAAGTGGATCAAAAGCCAAGTTTCAAAAAGAAAAAGAAAATCACAATTGAAAGTAGAGATTAAGTTTAATTGTAGATCTAAAAACCAATTTTCAACTATTTGAGGCTAGAAAATAGGATCCCAACTCATTGTCAGGTACTTATATCCAAAACCAAAAATAACTCAATATTTTTGTCACACAAATACTACACAAGAAATCAATCAAACAAAATAAATTGATTTTTTTATGAGATTTTACAATCCAAAACTAAAAGGAAAACCCTAAATCTAAAAACCAAGAATTGAAAAAACACTACGCGTCATCGTTGCAAATGGGTTGCTAAGGTAGTGGTGATTCTAGTTGGAGACATGGAGGGAACGATAAGAATAAGATGGAGTTGAAGTTTCAAAAGTTGAAGATGATTTATTTGGACATGCAAAAATTGATGACGATGGCGGCCAAACCTACTCAACACAAACAAAAATGATGGAGGTAGGGAGACCATCGTTCCTCCGCCTCGCCTCTTTCTCGTGAAAGGGGCTACGAATCGAGGCGAACTTGAGCTTTTATAATTTAAACGAATCGATTATTGTAATATATTTTTTTATTTAATAGACAAAATTCTAGAGCTTCCTTCTTCTTTTATTAAAAATAAATTTACTGTCAAATGGCTCTTTTTTTTGTCGGGGGCCTCAAACCGATTTGTACCGCCCTGTACACCTCTCTATACAGATGCAATGTGTATTATTCACATACATAGAAAAGAACAAAGTAAAGGATTCGGGACTTACTTCTGATATGATATGTTTGAAGGAAATGTGAAGAAGGGTACAACTTAAAAAGGTTGTACCATGCCAAGCATCGTGTATTATAGCATCCTACATATTTTTATTTTTTTAATTACTGGATTGTATTTTGGATTCTTCTCTAGAAATGCATTGTTATTTGGGGGAAAAAATTAAAGTAGCTGATTGATTATAACATTGTATGTAACATCCCAAATTTCGAGTCCAAAAATTTCATTTTAATTAACTGATTATAAAAACATTCATAAGAAAACTGCGTAAAAATATATCATTCCGTATAACAGTATATCATGTCTGAAAACCCAAATCATAAAATAGCAACATGTCAGAGTACAATCCCATAATATCTCAAGTGCGAAACAACAATGCGTGTGTGTATGATGTGCTGCTATCGTTCCAGTTCCTTCCCCTTCGCTGAAGAGGTACATGAAACCAAAACTGTAAACCGTAAGCACGGAGCTTAGTGAGTTCCCCCATCGTAGCTCACACCATACAATCATATATCATACATACTGCCATGCAATTCTGGGGTGCCCAACTTACCCGGTACGACCATTATGGGGTGCCGACCAACCCAGTACGACCATTATAGGGTGCTAACCTACTCGTGTCAAGCCATTCTGGGGTGCTGACCTACCTGTCGGTCCTAACAACCGACCCTCGGGGACTATTACACTCCCTACTGCTACTATCACATATCATAACATAAACACACTATCAGACATATCTGGGGTGTCCGAACTACCCTTTGGTCCTAACAACCAAACTTGGAGACTATTCCCCTCCTACTACCACAATCACATATAACATATCGGGCCAGCATATAAGCATATCATAACATACTTTCAGACATATCTTGGGTGTCTGACCTACCCTTCGGTCCTAAAACCGAACTCTACTACTATCAGATATAATATATCATGCCAGCATATAACATATTAGGTAGTAGCAAACCTAGATGATATCACAAAGATGATCATCTATCATACAACTCCTACTGGTGGGCCGACATTATGACCGTAGACCCACCGCTACTGGAAGGTAACTCACTTCGTTCGAGTAGCTGCTAATAATCAGTGTGGGAAATCTTTGTCTGCTGCTGCTCCGGAAATCCTCTGGCTATAATCCCCACAAAACACTCAGTCAGAATCTGATATCTACTCTTAGAGTAAAATGACTATTTTACCCCTGACCAAGTCCAAGTCAAAGTCAAAGTCAACTTTTAGTTGACCCGACTCGCGGAGTTGGGTCGTCAACTCGTCGAGTCCCTATCCTTTCATCTGTCCTTCTTCGCACCTCTACTCGTCGAGTTTAGGAACGCCTCGACAAGTTCTCCTTCTAAAACAACCCCGAATAAACCTTCATCTGACTCGTTAAGTTGTATGAACAACTCTTCGAGTTCATCTCCATCCTATGAACAAGTCCTATCCTCGACTCGCCGAGTTGTATGAACAACTCGTCGAGTTCATCTTCAAGAGTTGGGAGATTGCCTTGTACTTGCCGAGTCGGCTCATCCACTCGCCGAGTCCTATGAACTCCAAGACTATGGCTTATCCTAATACATTTGGGTCACTCACCTGGACCCTCTAAAACCTTTCTGACACGCAACTAGGTCTCTTTGAATCATAACAGAAAAGGGAAGCCTAACCTCGGACTCGTTGAGTCCCAAGAACGACTCGCCGAGTCGATACTGTCCAAGTCTATTTCTTCGATTTATGGTGTGCAACTCTTGTCCAAATGATAGAGCTAGGTCCCTAAACTCGATTTAGCACGTAAAGTTACGAACTTTACATGCATGCATGGGACTTTGAGCCAAAAAGGCTCTAAAAGAATCTCTTAAGTTGCATGGGGTCTTCCATGGGTGCAAAAGCAGCCCTTTTCTGCCTTGTAACTCCTTCATGAGCCTAGATCTGAAGCCTCAACCCCCAACCATGCTTGCAGTCATGGTTGGTTACCAAGAATGGCTTATAAAAGCCCTAAATGTCCCCAAAAAGGGATCTAGCAAATGAACAAGCAAGGTATCAACTTTATACCTTTTGGGAACTACAAATGATGCAAAAACTTGAAATCCCTTGGTCTTATCTTGATCCATCTAGGCCCTTCCTTCTTCCTTGTGATAAAAAATCACCAAAAGCACCACAATTGCCTTATCTCTTTACACAACGGTTAGGGTTTGCTATGGGGGGTTTCTGGAAGCATTAGGGACGAAGGGTGGCTAGATGAGATGCTTAAATAGGGTGCAAACCCTTAGATTAGGGTTTTGTCTAGTCAGAGTCTACTCATCGAGTCCGGAAGCCGACTCGAAAAGTCCGTCATTTAAATCTTGCATCAAATCCGCTTCTACTCGACGAGTTGGGCCTTTAACTCCTCGAGTCTCATGCCAAAAATGCAAAATACTTAAATAAAATACATACAAGGAACCAGATGCTACAAATCTCCCCCACCTATTTTAGACTTTGTCCTCGAAGTATGCTACTCGTTCCTAGAAAATTTATGGGTAATGCTCCATCATCTCATCCACCGGCTCCCAAGTTCATTATGAGCACTTTCGGTGCTGCCATTGCACCTTCACCAGCTTGAACCTCTTGTTCCTCAAATCCTTCGACTTCTGGTCAAGGATCTCCATAGGCCGCTAAATGTAATTCAGGTTTTCATCGACCTAAATATCCTCTAAGGGCACCACTATTGAGTCGTCCACCAGGCACTTCCGCAGCCGGGAGACGTGGAAAGTGCTGTGGATCTAACTGAGTTCGGATGGAAGATCCAGCTTGTACACTACCTTGCCCACCCAAGCTAAAACCCTGAATGGTCCAATGTACCTGGGGCCCAACTTGCCCCGTTTCCTGAATCACATGGCGCCCTTCCATGGCGACACCTTCAGGAGAACCATATCCCCGACCTGGAACTCCAGGTCTGATCGGCACTTGTCCGCATAACTTTTCTGCCGAATCTGATCAGTCTGAAGCCAACTCAAAAATCCCTTCCTTGATTGACCCAAAGATGACCGGGGTTGCATCAAGGATGACTCTAGTGATCTCGGACGCAATGAACTTGCATAGCCTCTCATCCACTGGTTCGGAACCTGAGCCCGAACCCGATCCCTCTCCTAAGCTGCCAACTGCTGGCCTTGGACGTAGTACCACCATTTTGCAATACATAATGAAAACCATCAGTGATACTGATACATCTAAAGGGATCACATCCATCACAAGTTCCCTGGTCTTGCCTCAGCCTTCCTCGATTCAAGTACGGATCCTCTGCTTTCAGTAGTATGGACCTATACTACCTTCTACATCTATCCATACTTTCCTCAAGAACCGCCTTGACTCCACCAAGTCCCTTATACTATGACTGATCTATGCTACTCCCATCTTAGGCTCGCCTTAGGGCACCTCTGACTCCACCCTAACCAGCCCTCAGATGCTGAAGGCTTCTTTGTAATGCCAATTAGCCATTACCTGAATACAATCACATGCAACGAGACTCAGATAATTCTTCGAGTAAGGGACTCATCCTACAATGGTTAGGACTCAAACAAGAGCCGTGAAATAGGGTAAAATCCAATCCTCTAAGATTTTCCAACCCTGATCACATGTGACTTTAACGTATTCACCCAATAGCTAACTCCCATCACTCAGAGTCCCACAAAGCACAAAGCAAGCAACATTCAGACAAAAGGGAACGATCTTAAGCAATCCTATCCTTATAACAAGAAACTGTACTAGCATATAATGTTAAGCTCATACTATCAGGCATAACCTAAACAAGCTATCCTATTGTTGTCTACTCAATATTAGCATGCAATTCTCATAAGACGAAACACATAAAGCAGGCACACATGTGTGTCTAAACAATTTTAGAACTATGAAAAGGGATGCCGTAATCATAGTCTCAATTGTTTAGACCTTTGTCATTTCTCACAAGTCCATGTTAGTGTGCCGGTTAACCACACACGCTCCGATAACAACTTTGAGAATGCAAATATCACAATTTCTATCTACTTGAAATCTACTTAGTGAAAGCGTTTCCTCACCATCATTTTAATGAATCGGAGAGAAACCTTATGACACTTAGATTTTATGGTGTATGATTTCTTTCCATATGAATTTGTCAAAACCTCAATCACAAGACAAGGTTAATGGCAAATCCAAACTCATATGGACTGAACTTGTGCAATCTAAAATTCTTGCCACCTGGCAGC